TGGATTTCAAAGTTAATGACAGAATAGTCAAACTGGAAGCATTGTATTCCTGACAATTGTATTAGTGAATAACCTTGTCAGACATGAATAAACACACACCATCACAGACACACATCATCACAGACACACCAAAACACAGTCACAAACATACACGCATTAACACAATTCCAAACATTCATAAAAAAACACAGAGGCACATACATTAAAAGACACACAAAGTACCATACATAGACACACAACACACTCAGTCACATACTTCGACATGAAATCACAAACAGTCACATAACCCGCCCAGGATCGGCCATGAATGACATCTTGTTGTTCTCTATCCCTAAAGGGACTCTCCAGTGCCAGGAAAACAAACCGCTTTCCTGGCACTGCAGGTCCCCTCTCCCTCCCAACCCCCATCCCAGGTTGCTAAAGAGGTTAAAACCCCTTCAGTGACTTACCTGTATCTAGCGCTGATGTCCCTCGGCGCTGGGTCAGGGTCTGCCCACGCTCCTCCCCACCGACGTCATCCGACCGACCTATTAGACCTCCCCATAGGAAAGCATTGACTATGGAGATTTCAGCGATGCTGGAGGTCCTCATATAGCGTGAGGACGTCCAGCGACGTTATAACACTTTTCGTGTTATATGAACACTAAAGTGTCCTCTAGTGGCTGTCTAGAAGACAGCCACTAGAGGAGGACTTAATCCTTCAAGGTAAATATTGCAGTTTAAGAAAACTGTAATAATTACACTTACAGGGTTAAGGGTAGTGGGAGTTGGCACCCAGACCACTCCAATGGGCAGATGGGGTCTGGGTGCCTGGAGTGTCCCTTTAAGCCACTGTTCTACCCCAGAATATTCATTTACACTCTGTTCCAAATTATTATGCAAATTTTATTTGTGTCACAAAGATTAAATATTTAGTTTTTCAGTTTAACTCATGGATGGCATTGTGTCTCAGTACTCTTTTGATCACTGAAAACAATCTCTGACACCTGTGATAATTAGATTGCCAGGTGCGCCCAATTTAACCCCTTAAGGACACAACTTCTGAAATAAAAGGGAATCATGACGGAATATGTCCGTCATGTGTCCTTAACCCCTTCAGGACGGGTCAATAGTACACGTTCTGATCAAAACAAAACGTAAACAAAAACTGGAATTTGCGCTATATGTATGTTCACCCGTAATTCACTGCTGTCACGTTAAGTGCACCCACACTTATTATATATAATTTTGTTCAGGAGAAACATGGCTTTAATTTATCATTAATTATTCATATATGGAACATCATTTATTATGAATAAAACATTTTTTTTTTTTTTTAGAAAATAAGATTTTTTTTTAAATTTGTATTTCCGTCTGACATTTTAGCTGTTAATGTCATAATACTGTTAGGTATTACTGCAATAAAATGCACATATTTGTAATCAGCGATGTCTCACGAGTACAACAGTCCCCCCAAGTAACAGGTTTTATGGTGTTTTGGAAAGTTACAGGGTCAAATATAGAACGTTCCATTTTCAAATTGAAATTTGCCACATTAGTAATGTTACCTTTGAGACGGTGTGGTAGCCCAGGAATGAGAATTACCCCCATAATGGCATACCATTTGAAAAAGTAGACAACCCAAGGTATTGAACGTGGGGTATGTTTAGTCTTTTTTAGTAGCCACTTAGTCACAAACACTGGCCAAAGTTAGCGTTCATATTTGTTTTTGTGTGAAAAAAGCAAAAAAATAATATTTGGCCAGTGTTTGTGACTAAGTGGCTACTAAAAATGACTGGACATACCCCATTTGCAATACCTTGGGTTGTCTACTTTTGCAAATGGTATGCCATCATGGGGGTAATTCTTATTCCTGGGCTACCATACGCTCTCAAAGGCAACATAACCAATCTGGCAAATTTCAATGTCAAAAAAATGAAATGCAAGCCTTATATGTGACTCTCTAACTTTCCAAAACACCATAAAACCTGTACATGGGGGGTACTGTTATTCTCGGGAGACTTCACTAAACACAAATATTAGTGTTTTAAAACAGTAAAACATATTACAACAATATTATAGTCCATAAAAGTGCAGTTTGTTTGTATAAAATGCAAAAAACGTCACTTTTACTTACAATATCATCGTTGTAATACAATTTACCAGTTTGAAACACTAATATTTGAGTTCAGCGAAGTCTCCCGAGTAAAACAGTGCCCCCTATGTACAGGTTTTATGGTGTCTTGGAGAGTTACAGGGTAAAATATAGTGCTTGCGAATTAAATTCTCTGCACTTTCTCCCTGTGTTGTCAGGCATGTCAATCAATTTTTAATTAATCAAATCACATAATTATGTTAAAAGATTACTTAAATATACACGTAGAATTTTAATATATATGCATTTATAGGTATTTAAATTCTACGTGTACACTAATGTAATCTTTTATGTAATTATATGTATTTATCTATATATATATATATTTGCGGTTATTTGTATTTTATATATAGATAGATATATATAGAATGTCATTTGAAGTGTATTTTGTTACATATATATATATATTAATAACAAAATACAGTTAGAATGAAATTACATATGAATATATCATTTTAATAAAATTTTGTTTCAATATTTTATTTATTTTATTACTTTATTTATGTAATTATACGTATATATATATACATATATATATATAGCAAAAATCAATATCTGCTTGGCACTCTCCTTACTCCAAACTAGGTATAGAACCAAAATAGTTGTTGCCTAGGTGCAACCCGCGTTAGAAATATATATAAATAGACAGGGGTGCACTCACAGGTCTTAAACAAAAACGACAATCAAATTCTTTAAGGTGAGAAAATCTTCATTATATCCGTGAATAAATCGACGTTTCGACCCCTAAGGGTCTTTTTCAAGATCACAGAATACACAAAATAGTGACAATATATACATGTATCAATTACTAAAATAACTTACCAAACATGTGAGGAAGTTGATTGTGGACCCATTAGCCCGCGAAACCGAAAACCCGGAAGTGCTGTACGCCGCGATGACGTCATTACGTGGTGACGTCTCACGGAAGAGATATGTGGTAACTAGGCAACCAAACGATGCCGTGCCGACAGTGGAGAAATGTGAAAAAACAGCATCCCGAAGCAGGGATTTTTACAAGAACAGACACATAGGTGTCTGGATGGAGGAAAATAAACTATGCAGCTAATTGTCAGAAAAAACATATGAAGATATAAGAAAATATGAGAATATGAGAAAATCCGCATATACAAGTGAATTAAACATTATAATTAAAGAAACGTATAATTAAAGAAATATATAATTAAAGAAATATAAAATTAAAGAAATATAATAAAATATAAAAAAATATAAAAAATATAATTAAAAAAATATATAATTAAAAGATATATAATTAAAAAAATATATAATTAAAGGAATATATATAATTACAAAGATATAATATAATAAAATAAAATAATAAACAAATGAGGGAATGGATCAATAAGAGAATAGAAAAACAGAAAAATAGAAATGCAGCACTCTACTAAATTAGTAGTAATGTATATAAGGATGTATCTAGATAACACCCAAATAAGTCCTCCATCGAGATAAAAGATATGAAGTGAACACCAGTGAACGTATATGTGAAATAAGATGGAAGGTAGGGGAGGTAGCTAGATATCAACCCTATGAACCATATAGATAGTAAAGAATAAATATAATCTATTAGAGCCCACATTCAAATCATATGTATATGCAATGTTTACTGCAACTACGAATAATTCTATCTTATGTGACATGCCTATATAATTATATAAAGAGGTATTATCTAATAAAGATCTATCATATACCCAATCATAATGGTACATATCTTAATTATTAACTATTAGCATACCACGAAAAAACGGCAGGAGGGCCTTATTAGAGAAGCCAGATTGAGAAACTAGACTAACAAGATAAATTATAAAATAGACTACGACCAGAGATATATTTTTATAAAAAGACAGAAAATACTATATTTTCATTTAATCCCTTGGGAGCAACTGTGTCCAACTTGTAGATCCAAGCTGCTTCCCGTTGTAATAAAGCTTTAGATCTGTCACCTCCACGGGGAAGAGGAGGGACATGATCAATCGCTATAAATTTTAATGTAGGCAAATGGTGTTGTGCTGCCAAAAAATGTTTGGCAACAGGTTTATCTGTTTTATTGTCTCAAAATGCGGTCATAATTCCTGAGCGATGACCACGTATACGATCACGTAATGTCAAATCCGTCTTGCCTATATAGGAAAGACCACATGGGCAGGTAATCATGTAGATAACATGATCGGTGGTACACGTAATATAATGGGATATAGACAAACGTTTGCCACTATGTGGGTGGCTAAATGTTGTACCACTGATCATGTGGCTACACGTTA